GGAGGGGTCCAGGGACAGAGGAGTCTGGGGCTTACAGTTCATGGGGTCACAAAAAGTCAGACATGATCAAGTGACCAACACACATACAAGACAGAGGAAGTAGAGTCAGTTCTATAAAGAAAGGGATGTTTGACAGGTTAGAAGTTAAGTCTGTTATTGAAATGGTAAATTTTAAAAGGAGCTAAAAATTGCTTCTTAGAAGAAAGAATTATGAACCTATTGAAAGGATCATCTTCCCCGTCCAAGAAATAGTTATGTGCTAAAAATAGATTCATTGAAATCCATCAAGAATTAAGGAGTGATAGGAGAAGGTAAAATTAGACAGCTCTGCCTGCCCCTCGGTGTTCACTGAACCCCTGTCAAAAGGAATACTAGAGTGGATGAGTTGCTGTGACCCTTCTGTTACTCACCATATATTTCTACTTTATTGTTTCAGGTATGATGTAGCTAATGTGGGAAAATGTGGACCTTTAAATGTGGCATGTAGTTCTGTGAGTTTTACTTGCTTTTGTTCAGTGCTAGTTTGCCTCACATCCTCAAAAGAAATTCAACATTCATTTTAAATAATTGTTTTCTTTTTGGTAGGACATTTATAGTATATTTTAAGAGAGGAATGTTTATACCATTAAAATAAGAAGATTTGAATCAAAGCAAATTATTGAAAGAAAACCCATCCCCAAAGCTTACTGTCTGTGGAAATCCTTTACTGATTTAATTAAAACTTGAAATTATATCTGGAGTGTTCTTATTTTTTTTCTTGTAGTCATAATTTTTTTAACTGGAGTAGAGTTGCTGTACACTGCTGATGTTTCTGATGTATAGCAAAGTGAATCAGCCTTACATATACCTGTATCCCCTGAGAGTGTTCTTGTACCCTCCATCATGCCAAGGCTGGAGCATCTGCTGTCACTGGGTTTGTTTTGATGGTGATGGTGGTGGTAGTGGTGGAGATTAATGATGGTAGCTATCATTTATTGAGCATGTATAAGGACTTGGCAGGTGTTAACTCATTTTATGCTCATAGTAACCTGAAAGTGAAAGTGAAGTCTCTCAGTCCTTTCCCACTCCTTGCCACCCCATGGGCTGTAGCCTGCCGGGCTCCTCCATCCACAGGATTTTCCAGGCAAGAGTTCTGGAGTGGGTTGCAGTTTCCTTCTCCAGGGGATCTTCTTGACCCAGGGATCGAACCTGGGTCTCCCACACTGCAGGCAGACTGTACTATCTGAGCCACCAGGGAAGCCCATAATTATTATTTCCATTTTACAGATGAAGAAACTGAGACAGAGATGAAGTAACTAGCTCAGAGCTGCATGTTTATGGATGGAGCTGGGCACGTTTCTAGTCATTTGGCTCCGGAGTGCAGTCTTCACCACCTCATTACTTTTTCTGGATATTTATACTTAGGCCAAAATCTTTGACTAAAAGGAGCATTTGGGAACTGGATGAACAATGCAGTCTTGGGGAAAGAGTGGGCTGGCATATTCATTTTAAATCTTGTTATGTGGAACAATGGAAACCCGACTGGAAAGACTAAGCGGTGTAAGTGATTATCAGAGACCGCAGTACTGGAGGTTCACCTCAAATCACACTGGCAGAAATAGAGTTCTCCGAAGTACATCAGTCGTTTCTTTACTGCCCTCTAATGAGTTATTTCAAACTTAAAGCAAGGATAAACTCCACATTAAAGATATGGCTGCTGATCCTGTTGAGTGAGAACTTCTAACCTTTCCACGTCCTAGGTTTCTCAGATGACAGTCTGTGTGTGGGAGAGTCAGTCCCGCCCCAGTGGGCACTAAGCTTTGTTCAAGGGACTCTTTTAAGGCGCATTTCTCCACTATATATTGTCATTGCCTGGCTCCATTATTATTATTATTTTGGTCTATCTAAATTAGTCATCCAGAAGTTTGTTGGTTTTGTCATCATTTGTGGAAAAGTCTGTTACTCTCAAAGGCTGTTCATGGTGGCTGCAAAGTCCATAGAAGTCCTCGTTTTACTGGCCCTTTGTATGTACGTAGGATGCCATGCCTTGTATATGATACAGGTAATTCTAGGCCAGATTTTTCTCGAATGCTGATCAGAGAAGACTGCCTCTGCGTTACCTGGGGAGCTTTAAAAAGGAAAATTCCCCTGCAGTCCCTCCCTACAGCAAGCACTGAAGAACTCAGGGTGTGAAAAATCTCAGCATACTGGCTCCGGATCGCTGAGATGCCTGTGGAAGGAATGATTTCAGTGAGCCCCAACACTTGCATCTTCCCATACATAGAAACGCAGAAAACACTAAATTCCTTAACTTTTGAGATAATCTGGTTTTCTTTAATTCACAAAAATACTTTTGATGTTCAGACTACCCGCCCTTTGTTGCAAACTTCTGTATAACCTGACTTCTCCCTGCTCCTTGCCCCTCCGTGCCCCCGCCTCCTCAGAGCAGTTCTCTCAGGGTTACCTGAGATGCTCTCTCCCAGGCTTGAAGTCCTAAAAATTCCCACCGAATAAAACATAACTCTTAACAACAACAAAAAAGGAAATTCCTGAGTCCCACCCCAGAGTTGCCAACTCACTCTCTGGGATTTCTCCCCTCATTTGCATTTTTAAGGAGCACCGCAGTTGCTTTTTTTTTAATTTTTTTTTCCATTTATTTTTATTAGTTGGAGACTAATTACTTTACATCATTACAGTAGTTTTTGTCATACATTGAAATGAACCAGCCATGGATTTACATGTATTCCCCATCCCAGTCCCCCCTCCCACCTCCCTCTCCACCCGATCCCTTCGGGTCTTCCCAGTGCACCAGGCCCGAGCACTTGTCTCATGATGTATGAAATGTATAGGTTTCTGGGTACTATAAGAGACAGGTGAGATAAAAGCCCTGCCCTCAACCAGCTTATGGTCTGCTAGGGAAGATAACACAGAGAAATAATGCACAGTGAAAATTAAGTACCACAGAAGTAGAAACAGCCACTCCCAGACCGCTGAGGTCAGCGAATCCTCTAGAGGTGTTTTTGCTGTTGTTTAGTGCCATGTGGATGACTCTTTGTTCATTCAGCACACGTGAAGGCCTGCAGCCCACTTTGCATTTCTCTTACAACTCACTGACTTGCTTCTAGAATTTCCATGCTTCTTAGAGATGAAGGCAAAACTTTCATATTATTAAAGGCTCCTAAAAAAAATAAATAAAGGCTCCTGCACCTAAACATTGGGACAGCTTTGCTTTCCACAAACTACCAAGTATACTGGGCACTCATGGTAGTTCTGATTTTATTTTTGTAACAGGAAATTGCTAACATTTACAAGACACAGGATTGTCTCCACTGAGAGCTGCCCCTTCAGTGTGACTAGGCCCAGATAGCGTGTCTCAAGTGTTTGTGAATGTTCAACTCTTTTCATTAAAAAAAAAAAATCACTGTTGCCCTTTACCATGGTCAGTTTATTGTCCAACTCTGAACAATGGAAGGAGAAGAAGACTAACATGTATTAACCACTGGGCACCAGGCACTGTGCCAGGCAAGCTTCCGAGAGGTCGAGTGAATAAGCCAGGCCACTCAGCTGCTGAAGCCAAGAGAATGGAGCATCTAGACTGTCGATGGGGTGGTGGCTTTTGTCAGCAAGTGTCTTGTTAATTTATTGACAAACATTTGCGTTCCTGCTGCACTGGCCCTAGAAGGATACAGATGTAAAAACAGTGACAGATCTTGGGGAGCGTTTGATCTAATGAGAAATCAGAGATTTACACAAATAACCAGTAGAGGTGAGTGAAGGGCACTAACATTTGTGCTTACTTGGCTATGCTGTCTTTCTTGGGAATTCCAGTGACAGAATCTACATTCTGATAAGGGAAATGTGGAAGCTCTCAAGGGCTGCGTTTAATACATTCTACCTGGATTCCTGGGAACCAATAGGATTTTTTAATAAGGAAAGTCCAAGCAGCGCTGCAGTGCAAAAGGCCAAGAGGAGTACAATGGGAATCTGTTTTTTAAGAGTATAAAGCTAGGCCTTGCTATTCTAGACATCTCTTCAGTTTTTTTAAACAAAGAAGTATGATCTATGCCATCACATACACACACCCATGTACATATATATAAATACACATATAGAGTGTGACTGACATGATTTTTCAAATTTTACAGAAGGATTCTTTCTGTAATCAGAAAGAAAAATGACTTAGAAAAAAGCCAAATAACCTAAAGGTTTACTTGATGAATCACCTATAAATTCCTCCAGAACACCTAATCAAACATTATGTGGAGACTGTTCATTATATGCTCTACCAAAATCATTTTCTCTTTTTGGGAGATCTGTTTCTTCATTTTCTGTTTATATAAAATTATTTTAATTTTAAAATTACCTTAGAGTGTTTGAGGTGTGTTTAGATGTTTTTAAAAAAGAGTTGTGACTTTCATTCAGTAGCAATATTTTCACTCTCCTGTACCTTTTCATAATGTTGATATTAAGCTCTTAAAATGATTGATCAAGGAAGAAAGACCAATGAGCATCAGTTTTCACTTGGTATTGTGAAATACTTGAATATTTTAATTTTTACCAAACTGAGCCATCATACATTGTATGGCCAGCGTTATATTTTTAATTAGAGTGTAGTCAATCCCTATAGTAAGTATTTTGCAGTGAGACTTTTTTCCATTTTGTTTTTCAAAGAAGATACTAATTTTAGAAGACAAAATGTTTCTGAAAACATTTTTTCCCCTTGATACTCTTTGACTTTAAAAATGAATGACATTAAAATAAATGTCAGTTTCAAGAACCAACTTGTTTGAATTTAGTTTGGAATACATTTTCATTTCAGTTATAAAATCTCTAAAAGTGACTTTAACATAAAAATTTTGATACAACTAAATAACTTTTCTGTCAAAAACAACTATTTCCCTGATACCAGTCTTAATTTCCTTATCTGGAGCCAACACAAATTAGAATTAGAATTTGAGTTTGATTTTAGTTGTTCATTTTATGATATGAAGAATTAACAGAATTTTTTTCTTACTATTTAGGAAATACCAGAAAGGAACCAGAGTCCGGCTGCGACTATTAGATCTTGAACTTACGTCTAGGTTCTTGGGAGCGACAACAGATACAACCATCCTAGAGGCTGAAGCAATTCTGTTAGGACTCCAGGAGAGTAAAGACTCAAAATCAAAAGAGGAACGTCATGAAAAGTAAATGAACTTTGCTGAGTGCATTCACCTCTTTTATGTGGAAAGCATATATTCATCAAGAACACAATTAGACAATTATGAATAAATGATTATAAAAAGACATAGTAAATGAAAGCTATAATTATAGCTCTTATTTGTTAGAATTTTCTTTAGCTGTATCTCCCCTCCCCCTGTTTTTATGCCCATTCTTTCCTTGGATTGGAATAGCATAAACTGTACTGAGAAATTCTGTCATTCAATAAATATGTTTTGAGTGTTCTCTATGTGTATGCCACTGTTCTAAATACAAAAGAAACAGTGGTGAACAAATCAGATGAAATTGCTTGCCTAGTAGGGCTTAACTTTGGCTGGGGAAATTGACAAGTAAGTAAAATATATAGCATGTTAGACAGTGATGAGTGCTAAGGACAAAAATAGAGCAGAAGGGGCAGAGGATCTGAATAGACATTTTTCCAGAAAAGACATACAGATGGCCAAGAGTTACATGAAAAGGTGCTCAGCAGCAGGGAAATGAGTCAAACCACGCGATCCCACCTCACACCTATTAGAATGGCTGTCATCAGAAGGCAAGAAGTAAAAACAGTCGGCGAGAATGTGGAATTTTAAAAGGGAGCCCTGGTGCACTAGTTATTGGAATGTCAATTGGTGCAGCCACAATGGAAAACAGTATGGAGGTTCCTCAAAAAATTAAAAATAGAATTATCACGTGATACAACAATTCCACTTATGGGTATTTCCAAAGAAAGTGAAAATATTAACTCAAAAAGATATGCACCCCTGTGTTGATTGCTGCATTATTTACAGTAGCCAAAGGTACGGAAGCAGCTGAATTGTCCACCAATGGAAGAATGGATAAAGAAACTGGTTTTCTTTGGTCGCTCCATCGGTAAAAAAATAATCTGCCTGCAGTGCAGGAGACCCAGGTTTGACCCCTGGGTCAGGAAGATCCCGTGAAGAAAGAAATGGCTACCTACTCCAGTATTCTTACCTGGAGAATTCCATGGACAGAGGAGCCTGCCAGGCTGCAGTCCACAGGGTCGCAAAGAGTCAGACATGACTGAGCAACTAACACTTGCAAGTGTCCATCAATACATGAGTGGATAAAGAAATTGTGATATACATACACATACATGCATCATATATATATAATGGAATATTATTCAGACGTTAAAAATAAGGAAGTCTCGCCATTTTTGACAACATGGATTGACCTTGAAGGCACTGTGTAATGTGAAATGTCAGACAGAGAATGATGAAAGTGTATGATCTCACTTATATGTGGAATCTAAGAAAAAGAGCTCATGGATATAAGGAACGTATTGGTAGTTGAGGGCAGGAGTTGATGGTGGTAACAGTGGGCAAAATGAGTGAAAGCAATTAAAAAGTACAAACTTTCAGGTATAAGATACATTAGCCACAGGGATGTAATGTATAGCTTGGTGACTATAATTACTAACACTGTATTATATGTTTGAAAGTTGCTAAGTTTAGTGTCAACAACTCAATGGACACAAATTTGAGCAAACTCCAGGAAATGTTGTTCCATGTCCAGTTCTAACTGTTGCTTCCTGACCTGCATACAGGTTTCTCAAGAGAAAGGTGGTCAGGTATTCCCATCTCTTTCAGAATTTTCCACAGTTTATTGTGATCCACACAGTCAAAGGCTTTGGCATAGTCAATAAAACAGAAATAGATGTTTTTCTGGAACTCTCTTGGTTTTTCGATGATACATTGGATGTTGGCAATTTGATCTCTGGTTCCTCTGCCTTTTCTAAAAACATCTAGAAGTTCATGGTTCACATATTACTGAAGCCTGGCTTGGAGAATTTTAAGCATTACTTTACTAGCATGTGAGATGAGTGCAATTGTGTGGTAGTTTGAGCATTCTTTGGGATTGCCTTTCTTTGGGATTGGAATGAAAACTGATCCTTTCCAGTCCTGTGGCCACTGCTGAGTTTTCCAAATTTGCTGGCATATTGAGTGCAGCACTTTCACAGCATCATCTTTTAAGATTTGAAATAGCTCAACTGGAATTCCATCACCTCCCCTAGCTTTGTTCATAGTGATGGCTTCCTAAGGTCCAGTTGACTTCACATTCCAAGATGTCTGGCTCTAGGTGAGTGATCACACCATCATGGTTATCTGGGTCATGAAGATCTTTTTTGTATAGTTCTTCTGTATATTCTTGCCACTTCTTAATATCTTCTGCTTCTGTTAGATCTATATAATTTCTGTCCTTTATTGAGCCCATCTTTGTATGAAATGTTCCCTTGGTATCTCTAATTTTCTTGAAGAGATCTCTAGTCTTTCCCATTCTGTTGTTTTCCTCTATTTATTTGCATTCATCACTGAGGAAGGCTTTCTTATCTCTCCTTGCTTTCTTTGGAACTCTGCGTTCAAATGGGTATCATCTTTCCTTTTCTCCTTTGCCTTTCACTTCTTATCTCAGCTATTTGTAAGGCCTCCTCAGACAACCATTTTGTCTTTTTCCATTTCTTTCTCTTGGGGATGGTCATGATCCCTGCCTTCTGTACAATGTCATGAACCTCCATCCATAGTTCTTCAGGCTCTTTGTTTATCAGATCTAATCCCTTGAATCTATTTGTCACTTCCACTGTATAATCATAAGGTATTTGACCATACCTGAAAGGTCTATATATAAGAATATAGTTTTCAACCTGCAATTGAATGAGTCCATGACCTGAAAAATTTGGGGCGCGCAAGAGAAATATGCTATCCCATAATAAATAATGGGCTGATTCAAGATAAGCTGGTTCATTGTGCAGCATCTTCACAAACTCCTTTCTTGCACTCCTTCAGGTGTTTGATGAAATCTATAACCACCCTCAATGTTTTGACAAAAAGTACTGCATTCTTTCTGTATTTTCTGATTTGCCCTTTTCCACCCAAATGTTCTTTCTGTTTCCTTGGTGTTTCAAACAACTCGGAAAGACTTTAGAAATCATTTAGGCTAGGAATTTAAAACATCCATCAGCACAGAAACCCTTATTCAGATAAAATTTTATTTGGTGTGAAAGGTTGGATTATTGATCTCACTTCTTCCCTTCAATGTAGTAATATTGTATATGCACACTCTCAACATGGTCTCATGATGGTGAAGTATACTTCCCTACCCCTTGACTTTGGACTTGGGTGTATGACTTTGTTAGGCCTATGGTATCTTAATGGCAGTGAGCAGAGACTGAAGCATGCCTTAATGTTTGGTCTTGCTCTGTGGCACAGACCCTCAGAGCAGAGCCAAGCCTAATGGACCCACATTAGGGTAAAGCCTGAAACAGAACCATCCCAGACTTGTAGACCAGTGAGTGAAGTGAAAGCTTATTATAAACCACTGACATTTTTGTGGCTTTTTGTTAACTGATACAGAAATTAGTACCTGAAAGTGACACTGGTCCTGGGTTTGAGTGGTGGGCAGCAAAAAAAATGTTATGGGGGACTGAAAAAATAGCAGTCTGTGTTAAATAGTAGCAAAACATTTGTTAAAACTGTCACCTAAGGTAACTTAGAAGACAGAAAAATTACCTAATTAACAGAGACATTTGGGCAAAAAAAATATGAGGCAGAATGTTGAAAGCATAAGCTGCATTTAATAAGGTACTAAAATGAATTCAGGGACAATTTTATCAAAGGTGTAGGCATTAAAACATCTCAAACAAAAGTGAAATCCACAATGTTGACATGATCCCAGGGTAAAGACCAAATCTAGAATGTAACTAAAACATTTTGAAAGGACTTTTTGAAAGGACTAAAATATGTCTAGTAGATTCTTTCAGATGAACAGAAGAACTCAGAAATCTTAAGGACAGAGTGTCACAGAAGCCTGATTATGCCCAAAGTGAGGTAATTAAGCTTAGAGAGATAAAGGCTTATCTGAACAACAAAAAAAGTGGATGTGCTTTTTGGCATATGATGTTATTGAAATCAAATAAGTAGAAAGCCCATAAAGTTTTGGGAAGACACAATTTGACCAAAGTGCTTCCAGTCTAGATTGAAACTGTTCAAGATATAAAAAGGCTTCATGGGCCTGAACTTCTACAACAAGAAAGGGGTCTTTAAAAAATGACTTAGCTGGTATGTTTTTATGTGCATGTATTCTTGTCACAAGATAGCAAGGAGCATGATGGAACAGAAAGAACCTCAGAGAAGCCAGAAACAACGGAGAAAAATGGACTTGAGAGCTACTCCTGTGAGGCAGAATAGGGATCTAACCAAGGAATTCCTCTTAAGATAGAGGGGCCTGGCTGGTTAACAATAGGGAGTCTGTAACACCCAGTGGGATTTTAGAATTGGTGTGGTCCAGTGATTGCTGTATGCCCTCTATTCTTTACCTTTTCAAATTGGAGTGTTTATTGTCATCATCGTGTTCCAGCATGACACATTAGGTGTTAAAGTAATTATCTATTGCTAAGTAACAGATTATCCCCAAATTTAGCAGTTTAAAATGAGACACATTTATTATCTCACAGTTTCTGTGGATCAGGTCTCCAGGCACAACTTAACTGGGTCCTTTGATTCTGAGTTGTTACAAGCCTTCATTCAAGTTGTCAGCTAGAGTTGGGGGTGTGACTAGAGAAGGACCCTCTTCCAAACTCGCTTACAGAGTTCAGTTCAGTTCAGTTCAGTTCAGTCGCTCAGTCATGTCCGACTCTTTGCAGCCCCATGAACTGCAGCATGCCAGTCCTCCCTGTCCATCACCAGCTCCTGGAGTCCACCCAAACCCATGTCCATTGAGTCGGTGATGCCATCCAACCATCTCATCCTCTGTCGTCCCCTTCTCCTCCTGCCCCCAATCCCTCCCAGCATCAGGGTCTTTTCCAATGAGTCAACTCTTCACATGAGGTGGCCAAAGTATTGGAGTTTCAGCTTCAACATCAGACCTTCCAATGAATACCCAGGACTGATCTCCTTTAGGATGGACTGGTTGGATCTCCTTGCAGTCCAAGGGACTCTCAAGAGTCTTCTCCAACACCGCAGTTCAAAAGCATCAATTCTTCAGCGCTCAGCTTTCTTACAGTCCAACTCTCACATCCATACATGACCACTGGAAAAACCATAGCTTTGACTAGACAGACTTTTGTGGCAAAGTAATGTCTCTGCTTTTTAATATGCTGTCTAGGTTGTCTAGGCTGTCATAACTTTCTTTCCAAGGAGTAAGCGTCTTTTAATTTCATTGCTGCAGTGATTTTGGAGCCCAAAAAAATAAAGTCAGGCACTGTTTCCACTGTTTGCCCATCTATTTG